CTCTAGTTTTGCCCCTCTCACAGAAGGAGATAGGGGCGTGGACAAGAGAGTAAGGAGGTCTGCAAACATGAAACATTAGCATTGCACTTGGAGGGAGAGAGAAGGAAATAATGATTTTGTCAATGCGTTTCGTAGTTCATGCGAATAGCCGAGAGCACATCAACAGAGAAACTGCAAACCCTTCTCTTCGATCTGTGGCAAATGCCCAAACCCGGTTTGGTCTTAACGTTCTACGGATCCGACCCACAGTCCCCATCCCTTCACAAACTGTTACAAAAGAGTCTGGCAAGAGTTACCAGACACACGAGTAAGTCTGTTGATTCCGTTTTGCTTGAGCATGCCTAGGAAGAAGTAAACTTGTGAATAGACTCTATCGGTGAACAAAATTGACGGTTTTGTTTGGCAAGAAAGCAGGGGGTTGACTACCGAGTGGCTGGAAAAGTAGGGAAGGTTGGAAGACTTGAGAGGTGATAAATGTGAATGCACCTTACTTCGATGAGTGAAAGTGGTTTCAAGCGCTGTTGATAGGGACGTGGATTCTGACAGACGGGAGGGAGAAGTGTGTGGGTGATGCAATTTCAAAGGCAGTGAGAGGCTATGCGGAAGCGTATGGAATGCAACAGCTTCAAGTCATTGCATTGGTACCGTGGCGCCAACTCTACAACTCCCATCTCCTTCGATGTGAAGATTATTTGGTAGGAAGACCATTCCGCACCCCTTCATCCATCCGCCTATCCTTCCAATCATCTCTTCAATGCTCTTTACATCATCACAAACGTTTCTTTCCCAACTCTCTGCGAGACGATGGAAGTATCGCTGTGTGGTGATATACGAAAGGGCTTTTCCTTCTCATACCAGGGTGTCACCCAGATGGCGTTTCCTAAAAAACCACCAGGAAATGACAACAGAATCCAGGTGGCAGAGAATCACACTCACTACATCTTTATTGATTCCCCGGACAGTTGGAAGGACCTCACTCTGTGCAGAACGCAATTTGAGGCCTATGTTAGTCACCTGAATGACCTAACCAACGAGGGTGAGTGAGGAGCGAAAGCATTATTCGCCTGCCACCTGACTGCTCTTACGACGAACTTTTCTATCTTCAAAGCAGCGGCAGTGGAGGAAGGAGGAGGAGGAGGAGATAATAGAACTCAAAAATATCGACTTCGACCTCATTCTGGGGCGCCAAAACGCTTGAATTCGCGATTCAGAACACCTAGCAGATTAACTAGTGAGGTTTTCTTGCCTCCTCTTTTCGTTTTCGCTTCATAACATCACTATACACGGGAGTCGCTTAGTTGTTTCGTTTCCTTTTCATCCTAACCTCAGTCAATCGTGTACCGGTCTGTGGTGTTCTAATTGAAGGCGACCGATCAAATTTACTGGGACTTTCCTTCGCCCTGAGGCTAAATATTCCATTCATTGTCATTTCGGTAAGCGACTTGTGGATGCCTCTCAAAGCAACTACTCCCTCCCTAATTGTTGTGTCGCATTATGTGGTAGGACACAGGTGGTCTGGCCAAGGCCTTAGAGATGTTTGTCAATTTCATGAAGCAGCTTATGCAGGATGAGAATGATGGCGCATTTCACCTGAGGTGGAGCAACTGCAAGTACAGCTTAACCAGGTGAGTTGTGTAAAAACGAAAAGAGGAAAAATGTTGACTTCGGATTGCGATCGTGATTGAATGCTAACCCACCCGTCCATCACCATCACCACCAGTCTGATTGAACGCGTCAAAGGAGTGGCGCACTTTGAGAGCAGTGATGAGGCATACTTGACGGATATTTTGGATCGTGCCTACCTGTTGGAGTTCATAACTACCACATCTGAAGGTGCTAATGAAATGGACACTCGTATTCTCCATTCCCTAATTAAACCAGGCAAGTCGTTTTGTCCGCGACTCCGTCCCATTCCTTCTTCCTCCATCCATCCATTCGTCCACCTCTCCACCATCCAGCCTTTTCTGCACTCACCCTCGACCCACTTGTCCACCCATCTGTCTCTGAGTGATGCGCGTTTTGTGCAAATTTTAAAGAGCTCTTCGAGGGCATCGATGAGGAGGACAGTTGGGACTACAAGATCCGCATCGCTCTCTCCTTGAACCGAACAGATTTTCTACCTGAAAATATGTTTTCTCGAGTCCACTGGCAAGTAAGCTGAAGGACTGTTGTGATAGTAGTAGTGGTACTAGTAGGAGGAGAAGGAGGAGGTAGCTGTGGTGTGTTGAGGACGGAGTTGCTGATTTGTAAGACTGAGGTGGAGCACCTAACACGGTAAAATGTGCTCGATTGCAGGCAAAGAAGGGAATGAAGGAAGTGCTGACCAAGTGTCTCATGGGAAACAGTGCCAACTTCATTCAACTTCTTGTGGATTCGGGCTTTCCACTGCACGAATACGTCGACGAAACTTTGTTGGTCCAACTGTACAGATCCGACTTCGAAAGCAGTGTATGTCACCATGGGTTATTAGCAGGATTGCTGTCAATAGATCTCATCCATACATTAATGACACTGTTACCTTTGAAGTTACCTGCTTCTCACTTTACCGCAGGATCCGAGGGTACAGCTATTCAGGAGTTATGCATCTACATCAATGCCGGTGAGCGGAGGGTGGTTATTGGGACTTGAAGCATTGTAGCAGTGCAAGTAAGCCACCATGTTGTGTCGTTTTTAGATTCCACAGATGATTGATTGGCCGCAAATTGATCATCTGGTGAGCAGCATTGTTGGTTTTAAATTAGGCAATCAAAGGCGGGATAAAGGG